ATTTCCCTATTTCCTCATTGCTTGCATTTGCACGGCCATATCTGAATTTGAGCCTGTCTTTAGATAGTCAGATTTTCCCAAGACTCGCCTTCGTACGTAGATGGCTGACTGTCCGTCACCAATGACTTCTTAGTTTAAGTATAAGGCATATTTTGCTTCTGGGGTTTCCCAATTCCTGGTCACCTAAATGGTATTCACAATTTGGGAGGAGCCTACTTGCTGAACCATATGCTTTATTGGACTTAATGCAAGTAGACTTGGCGAGGGAAAGGATTACGCTTGACAGGAAACATGGTATAGGGGCTAGATGTCTACATTTTGCGCAAACGCATTGAATGTGGTGTTCTAAACAACCCTACTGTTATTATTGCAGTTCTGTCCCGAAAGTCGAGGGAAATCTGTGAGCCTCCGTTTGCCCCGAGACTAGCGCGTCGAACAGTTCATGGATTTGCGCGCCAGGGACATATGAAATTATTTTAATCAAATTTCTATTTCGCAACTGCCCATTAGCCTGATTGCTGGCCATTCGGCGTCCGCAGTCTTATCGACTGTTAAGTGAATCTGACATGAGGATGGCATTAAAATGAGAGCAGCCGCACTTTCTGTGAATGAAGAACCACGAATACATCGTTAATGCCACTGTGGCATGGACACTTGTGATCTGGCACACCAATTTCCTCAAAACGCGTCGAATATCCGAAGACGTCAGTCGCACATTAACGACTCTGAACTGTCGTTATGTAGATGTTCTTGATGGCGCTATGTTTAAGTTACGGCGAGCCACTGCACAAGATGGTAAAATGTCGACGATGACCATCTGTGGAATCGGTTATGGGCACGCATATACATTCATTGACACAAAGTGGGGTCTTCTTCAAACAAGTGTAGTTAATGCATTCACGATCTTTTCTCTGATTCTCCTATAGGTAGCTTTTGTGAAAATTTGAGTATGATTCCAGGTTATCTACTAGAGAAACCAGTCATTACTCATGTACTGGGCGTAGTTCTGCGCAGCCCGCCTAAGTCTCTCCAGTCACTCCCGAATCTACCGCATTCAGACTGGCAACCCATTCTTTGCACTCCAAGATACACCCATTGCACGTGCCCCACTCGCGCACATTATCTTGGCATGTTCAGACACTACATTAGACTTTTCGGTCACAGGAACATACACAGTGGCGACACCACAGTACCATACCGCAACTCAAGAAATTCGCCACGTCCAGTGCTAGAAACTCCATCACATTTTGATTTATGTCAGATTGGCGTATGGAAGCCTAGGTTTTGAACCCTTTACCCTTTAAACCGCTACCACTGCTAGCCACAACACCGTCATCCGTATTGCAAACAATACCAGCTCAGACGACAGAAAGCCGTCCTGTGCATACAGCCACCTTACATTAGCATCACAAATTGACCTGATTGGTCATCTAAGAATCCCTCGCGCTGAAACTAGTTATTTAGCACCAGGAGCACCGGAATACACGCGGAACGCCTGTCTCATCTGCTCACGCTGCCCAAGGATGTCCAGTCCTCTCTTGACTCATTCGGCCATATGTGCCTACATGACAGCACAGTCCGAACCTAGACTGTGCACCCAATCCCAAACAGACGCTACAGATATAACCAGACACTTAACAAGGTCGTGTGTGAAACACATAGACGAGCTCCTGCAATTCCAGCAGCCACGACGCCCAATCCTAGCACTAGCTTGTTAGAAGGCTCGGACGGTGGACTGTTGTTGAGAGAGGAAGATAGTGGAAGAGTGAGGTGAAGTCGACTTCCAAGGTACAATCTACACGAGAATAGTCGCCAATTTGGATTGGAATAAACATTACCTCCCCACTTGTTCCAAGTCGGCTAATATGGAGCACCTGAAACACAGCGCATTCTGCGCCACACGCTAAATGTCGTGGGTGGAAGACGGCCGGTTACTGATACGACCAGCCACCTACAAAACCCTTCATGTGAAAACCTGGTACATTGTGTGAGATCACGATCATATTTGGCACACGCAGACAAGCTGCTTTGTCAGCTACTGCGCCCGGGTCCGCCAATAATCGCCCTGACTCCGTCTTGTCGTTCAGCCATTTCGGGTAAGATAGAAGAAAGACGGGCAGTTAATATACAAATTTGCTTCCATTGTCATCTAATACATGCACGATTCATCGTCCTCCATTCGTCACCTTGTGTAACACATAGTGGATATAATCGGTCTCGATGGCGGAAACGTCGCTTATGTTTTTGGAGGTGCATTTTCTACTGCGAAGGAATGATAACGGAATAAAGTGCCTCGGATACCATCCCGATACACTCTCATTTCACCGAGAACAGGGCAGTTTGCATACACCCGCTTCCGTGCGTTTGCTTATAATTCCTGCTTACGCCACCCACATTTGTTCACCTCAAGCGTTCTCGTTTCACTCGCCAGTCCGTTTTAAACATACGCCACATCTTTCAGAAAGAGATGTCAGAACATTAGTCAAATTTGTCTTAACATTGCATCTAGGAGTTAATCTGTCAACCTAACTCCGAAATCTTCGATTGGGCGAACACTTGCGCTACAAATATGTGATTGCCTGTAATTGCAGCTAGAGACGTGTCTAGTTAGTCTGCATTCTACGGAGACGAGTCCTTGGGATGATCTCAAAATCTATAGGTAAACTCGATGAAAATGCTTAGCGTACATAAGAGCAACGAGGAAATATGGAAAATAGGCCTAAATCATGTAAAAGACGTGGAACCTATGTGATAAGTTATACGGCCAAACACCAAAGTACACTGTGCACTCGCTATCAAAATTCGGCTCCTCATCTAATCGACAGTCCACTTCTCTACCTTCAGTTCCATCTACGTCTTCTGGCCTGTTTCCCTCAACTTCCTCACTCTTCAATTACTGCCACGTGTAGGCTAGTATGATGAAGAATTTGAGTGGATAATATCTGCCAAATGAACATACCGTCATGCTTGAATGGAGAACGGTGTGATCTGCCTCATCAAACCGGTGGCGGCCCAGTCCGGTGGACACAAGCGACAAACCCGCCGTAAATGAACTTTGTGTTGCAAGTGCTCCAGATAAGCCCGCTCGCGACTAGCATACAGGAAACGAGTAATCCAACGCAAATCAACGACTCCTCTCGATGCAACCACCATTGCCGACGTAGACGCCTCTGCTGCTGCTGCCTCTGCTTATGTTGTTGCCGTAGTTCGTGTTGCTGCTTTTGTTTTTGCCGCTGCTGTTGCTGATCCTGCATTACTGCCTGCCTCCCTGCCTGCCTGCCTGCGGGTCTGCCTGTCTACCTTCAGCACAAACGAGGACGCCGACCAAGTCAAATAGCTGGCGTTCCTGTCCGGTGGACGCAAAGGCCAAACCCGCCGTGGATGCACTTTGTATTCCAAGTGCTCCAGAGGAGCCCGCTTGCGACTACCATACATGAGGCCAGTAGTCCAAGGCGAACCAACAACTCTGCTCGGTGCGACCACCATTGCCAACGTGGACGCATTTGCTGATACTGCTGCCGCTGATGATTCCTGCCTTCAGCGCAGATGATCACGCCAACACTGGTCGGCTGGCGATGCTTGCAAGCGCGATGACGCTTTGCTCGCTCCACCGGCACAACTGCTTTCTGCGCCCGTTGGCCATCTTCAGGCAACCTACAGGATAACAAGACAGTTCTCGTTAGCAGTGCTTCGCTGTCTGTCTACACAGTCGAATAAACACCAAAGTCGACCTGCGCACCCTTTCAACTCAGCAGTCTGCATTTCACAAAAGGCATTTGCGAAGGTCCGATGGAAGTTGGTGACAACGGGACGAATCTGGTTATTCACGTTTCGGACAACTTGCACTGCAGTGCTCATACTGGGCTGTGATATCTAGAAACAGACAAGTGGATGAAAAGTCAGTGTCAGGCGACTTACGCGGCGACTGCGCTGATTGCGCAGGTGATGGGACCTGAGTACTTCGACGTCCATCAAATCTTCCCTTTGAAGGCAACGTTCGCCCTTGACAGCGTAGTAGTCTGGTATGCATATGAGGAGTTAAGGTGCACCTACCTGACTGGCAGTCTGCGTTCTGATCATTCGCATATAAAGTGTGCTGAATGAAGCCTGGGAGCGCCTGAACTGTCGCAAAATGTAGATCCGCAGCGGACACTCTTGGGTTTGGGCCCTCCTGCCTCAAAGATTGACCGAGGACCTTCGTGTCCACTTTTGGAACGCCGTTATACTTTTTGTATTTCTTGCCAAGTTTCCGTAGGTTGATCTTCAACCATCGCATCATATATTTCTTTAACTGGACGCTGGAATTCTCAGGTCCCCTATAAGCCGTTTTGGTGATGGCTGACACCAGGCCGTCCAAAACCCAGAGGTAGGGATTAATTCGGCCAGTCTCCGCACCACCCCGTTTGATGGCACTTTTGTTAGCAGCGACGAGGGCTGGAGACATCTTGCCGGTGCGAGTTGTTCGATCACAATGACGGACGTGTTGTTGCAGCCAGTCGCAACAGTGCATTTGAAAACTGATCGATCGCAAGGGATCTATATGCGGAGAGCGTTGTCGCACATGTGTTTGTTGATATGGTCGTTCAATGAATTGCCTGTTGAATGGGTTCACGCTGTGTACGACCTGCTGAATCCCTTGTCTATTTTATCGCAAGTGGTTTTATTTCAGTAAGCACGAAATACGACCGCATGCGAGTGTGTTTATGGCAGGTGGGACGAGAGTATTGTAACTGGTGGAGAGGCATTGGCGAGGGCAAAATGTAAATTAAATGGACGGAGAAGAATATTAGGCAGAGAATGCCAGAGAAGGCATTCCCCCAAGAGGATGAAGACCAATTTCACTATGTGAATATATTTGCGCACACTTCCACAAGAAGTTAGTTAGGGGTTATTTGCCTTCTGCGCAATCATGTACCCTGTTTATGCAACCTGTGTGTTGAGGTGGTAACCGTCCACATTTTATCACAACCTTACCAAAATTAGCGTCAATTATGAGATACATCTAATCCCAATGTGCGAATTTTTACACAGCTCTACCTGTCACTCGGTTGTATATTCGGAAAAATGATGTGGGTGATGCAAAATGGAGTTAAATTTACAGCACCTTCATTATCTGCAAATTAACTGAAATCAGCTGGCATCTGCCATGCCCGATAAACCTCCCCAACATAGATTGTGAAACGCAATCCAGTGGCAGACCTCAACAAAACTGTCTAAACGTCACATACGCAACCCCCATATTGATTGGACGGAAACTTGTTTCATTGTAAACTATGTCTCGTCTACAATCCCCTCCACCTCTGACGCTTATTTCGTGTATCCTCTTGGTGTTCGGCATAGTTCGTTTACCATTTGAAGATAACTGGAATATATTGTTTTTATGTATTTTGCTAAGAGACACATGGATTTTAGCCTTTGTTTTTTGAATTTATTTATTTAAATCCAGGCACATTCATTTTAATTACTGGTATTTCTGCTAATCTGTTCCTGTTGACCTTCAATTGGATTCTGCAATCCATATTTTGTGCTTTCTATTTCTCTCTAATTGCGTACATTTCGTTTTAACACGGTTAGCCTCTCGCTGAAATTCAGTCGACTGGTCGGTCAGAAATTTTCTCAATTGCAACTTCCTTCGAGACATGATGAAAACAAAAGTCACAGATCGGCCAAAGAGCTCGGCATTTGCACCTCAGCATGGCTTAACTAAATCTAATTCAGAAGACATTACTAATCATTCTGCACGCGTTGTAACTGATAGGCAGCTTAATCTTTCTGCATTTTACATCTGGAAGATTTTATAGAAATGTTTGGCACTATGCCTTCAATTCTGGGAAAACAATTCAACGGGAACATCTCCGACATCCATTCTACAAGGTGCATACATTCCGCGTAAGAAAAACCATATGTTCCTCTATGCCCTTGGGAAGATATCATATAGGTTTCATAAAATTTTGTAATGGACGCGTGCCGTGTTGTACATTTCGTGAGGAGCATTGGTAAACGGATAGATACGATGCTGTATACATGGACATTGTACTTTCTCAAAAATTCTTACAATTAGAAACTATTTTAATACCAAAAGATATCTTTTATTCGGGCATAAAATGCAAAACCAACGTGATTTTCTACCAAACGAGTAAAAGAAAGCATATTCTTGTGCATTTGTGCTATAAACTATATTTGTATTCTTTAGACCATCGGAAATCAAATCGCAAAATGTATGCCATTTAAGTACTCATTTTTGTCGAGTGCGGTTTCTGCAGGAAACCAAGCAGAACTGCATCCAAAAACTGACACAGTGGCGAGTTCGAAGTTTTATAGGAATGCGCCGCATAATAATCAATCTTACAACGCCACCAAAGTAATCCTTTCTAGTGGAAAACGTACCTCACAATTCCGGCCTACTGCACCTTTTGAGCAACATTGACAAATGTACTGATGCGATTCTGCCTGATTGTACATTTACGGACTTGAATGATTTTCACAATTCTTCAAATATAAAATGCAAGGAAGACGTAATTTGCTGAGAAATGAATACAAGAAAGAATGTTTTGCGACTGTTTTCTATAAAATATATCTGAATTCATAGAGAGTCGAAAGTAAATAGGAAAACATAAGCGGTCATTTTCTAGCATGTCTGATTCTTGCAAGCAAAAGAAAAGGCGTGCATTCGAAAGGCCGTACCCTGGGGGTGATTGATTATTTATTAACTCCCTCCCCAGAAACCAACACTGTTGAGAGTGTTACTAACTTACGTGAATCATAGCCATCAAAGGTGAACAGTGGGCGGGGGTGGAAGTGCAGATGGATACAGTCACATAAACTATCTCTGGACATTCAGCGCAGCCTGCGAGTCACTTAACTGGTCTGGAAAGCCAATATGGTTAAAAGGATGGTTTTCACTGAAATTCTTGACTTCTGTCTAGCTAATCGGCTCCTGAGCTCTAGTCAGCATGGATTTTACCTGAACGATCCTGCGAAAATTGCCACTTGGCATTTCTTAATCTAATCACTTCTCGTCGTAATGAGCGGCAGTCAGTGGTAGTTATTTACTTTGATCTTAGCAAAGCCCTCGTCAAGGTGACCCATAGACGTCTTTCAGTAAAATTGGAAGCTTTCGGGATCCGGCCGCCACTACTCGACTTCATCAGGTCCTATCTGTCCAACCGATATCAAAAAGTCATGGTCGGTAATAGCTCTTCGACACCTCACTTGATCACGAGTGGCGTTCTTCAAGGTACGGTTCTGGGTCCGCTACTCTTCCTTCTGTACATCAATGATATTTCGACTGAACTCGGCAATTCGCAAACTTTTACGTATGCCGATGACCTCAATTGTGTTTAGTCATATTCGAAGGACACCGAAAACGTTTGTGTTGAAAAATTAATGCCGATTTACTACGCTTAAGCAGATGGGGTTCGACATGGCAGATGGAGTTTTCATCATCCAAGTGTAGTTTCATGTCTTTTGGTCCTGCCAAACTTCCTGATCCCATAACTTTTCAGAATAACTCACTCTCAGAATGCCTCGCCATAAAGGACCTAGGTCTAAGTTATACAAATAAACTTGCTTTATCACCTCATGCAGATAGAATCTCCGCCAAAGCCGCGCAGATAGGTGGATTCATATCGCATAATATTTTCCTTCCGGAAATGAAGCTAAGACTTTATCAAATGTTTGTTATTTCAGTCCTCGAATACTGCTGTCCTTTCTTTGGTTTAATGAACGTCTGCGACCGTAATAAAATCGAAAATGTTCAGAGGGTTTTCACCCGGAAACTGTTCTCTCAAGCTTCGTCCGGTGTTTCTTATACTCAGAGATGTCAGCTGACGAACTTTAAGTTTTTGTGGCTTAGGAGACTTGAAACTGGCCTTTGCTTCCTTTTCAGCATCAACTCTAGCACCAGTCTTCCGCTCATTGACACTCTCACTCCGAGAGATCGGTTTTATGCCACGCGCAACTCCTGCATGGTGATTCCGCTGCCGCCTATTTGCACTACACTCAAGCGCTCCCTCTTCTTTGCTTCCAAATATGCCTTTCTTTTGAATAATCTTCCGTCAGAAATTAGGTCATCGCCTAAGTTACTGGTATTCAACTCTAAATTACGCAAACACCTTACACCGGAAAGCATAAAGGCACTGTTAACGGTCTCATTCCCGAACACTCAGATTCTTGACTTCGAGAAGGGTCCTCCTGGGATTTAGTGGTAGATTAAGTGGTAACTCTTGATTATATCATTAGAAACCCCTGTTTTGAATTGGTTTCTAAATCCATCGCTATCCTTCCCCCCTCCCATAGCGACAATTTTCGCGGTTTTTGATGTCATCTCCCGCATTCCGACCTCATGCGGTCTGTCGACACTCACGGCGGAACCCGCAGTATTCACTGTTTACTAGTAGTTCGGTCGTACCTCCCTTCCTCACTGCTCGGCTGAGCTCGAAGCGTGCTGTGGCTAATCGCATCTCGGTTCCTCTCGTCTGGCCTCTTTGACGCGGCGTACCAATCAGGCCCAGACGATCTCAATTGTGAATCCCGTATACAATGCCAGTTGCAAGCCAGTCCTGTCTGACCCACATTCGTACCCATCAAGGCTGACATTTATTGCTACCCTGACGATGACCGACAACATTCCGTTATATACCGCCACCTACAGGCCAGTCCTCCTCGCTTTTTTCTGTTATTATTTTTAAAGAGTGCAGTCTGTCGGCACCCACGGTGGAACACTCAGTATTCGCCGTCTACTAGTAGTTTGGTCGTACCTCCCTTCCAAATTCCTCGGCTGGGCTCGAAGCGTACTGTGGCCGATCGCGTCTAGGTTCCTCTCGTCTGGCCTCTTTGACGCGAATAGTCTCATGCGGCGTATCAATCCGGCCCTGACGATGTCAGTTCTGAATCGCGTATACAATACCACACATAGGCGAGTCCTGTCCGACCCGCATACGTACCCCTCAAGGCTGACATTTATTCCTGCCCTGACGACGTCCGATTATAATCCGTTATATACCGCCACATACAGGCCAATCCTGCACGTATTTTTCTATTATTATTTTATATGGATGAGTTTTTCTCTCCTGTAAAATTAATCCAATAATTTTTTATTTTTGTGTGGAGTTTTTTTACCCCTCGCTCGTCATTTTTCTCAACGGCCTACTAATTCAGAAACTATAAACTGCAATTTGTGCAGATTCTGCCTACCTCGTATAAAATTCGCATTTAAATCCATTTATACTTGCTATGATGGGACCCTAATGGGTCTTAAGTGAATCCGCTTTGGAAGTAGGAAGGAACAACTGCAGTTCACATAGGCGAATATCATTGGCAAAATAAACGTCGTCTCAGACTTTGCTTGTCCATTGGTTAAGGGGGACTGAAGGCCCGCCTATGCGCTTGGCACTAAAATATCCTAATAGAATTGATCTCGAGGTCCGATCGACTGTCGTGAACGACAATGCCCACCGTATGCCCAAGAGCATAGGCGGTGCAGAACGGTGCCCTGCGCGTGAATTAGTTTATCATGGTAGCAGACTTGTGCCGCACCTGTGGCACTCCTCCCCAAACCAGCAGAACCCTGTGTCAAGACAGAGTCAAAACGACCTGACGCGGGATAGGGCGAAGTAACCGACAAAGCTAAACAGCCCACCTATGTCTGCCACGCACGAACTGGCCCGTGTACGATGGGCCAGGTTTTCGCAGAACCGATGGGGTCAGCTCGGATCCCATCTGAGTGCCGGTGTCATGGAAGCCACATCCCGACAGAGCCCTTACAGTCTGACTCTCTGTCCTGATAGGTCCGATTTAGTTCGTCAGTTGACAGCCTTCGAAGCCATGATTTCTGGCACTCCGTGATGGTTTCAAGGCTCATCAGCATTTTTATACTGAGGGATGCGCCGAAGTGCAGTGTGAACTGAGTTCGCAGATCCGTCCTCACTATCTCTTCTCTCTCCCATGCACCAGTCGGCCTTCCCGAACCTGTCGGCCATTCGATACTAGTATTGGTCGCAAGTGGCTAAGGCGGTGCGATCCTGCGCCTAGAAGTACTACCACGCCTTCCTCTCCCCATGTACGACACGCTATCATGACTGAAGTACTGCAGTTTCTGACCGCCCCGATGATGCGCTAAAGTACACTTGAAGTAACACACGTTTGGTTGACAGTCTCAAAGGCTGGCAAGTGAGACGTACGTGTTTGCGAAGGCTGCTGCTTTGACAGTTAGACTTAGACGTCATGAGCTTGTACTGTATTTGGACTTGAACATGATCCGTAGAAAGACGTCAGCGATTAATCCCAAATTGTTGAACGCCAATGGGAGGACTGAGTAAACGATGAGAAGTCATGTCGCCGAAGTCCAACTAGTCTGTCTGTTCATCCGCTTAAAGCGCTTAAAAAGGCAGTTGCGTACTCGGACAAGATTTGTTGGGAGCTTTTAGTGTGATGGTACAGTAATATGATGGAGAACACGAGAAATGTGTCCCAGATCATGACATCTAGTGTCTGGTAAAAACAGATTCGCCGAGTTCGAGGAGGGCATAGGAATTGCGCAGGCATACGCCGTTGAAGCAGATTGGGGCCACCTGTAGCCAGGGTTCAGGGCGACAAGCAGTGAAATGGTTGGGTTGTCAAGAGCAGTCCAGCTCTGTTTGGCAATGTAATGTCGCGCCAATACACCATCCGTTAGATGATCTGGCTTTTGTGGAAGGTTGTCACAAGATGCACAGCAAATAACTGAATGGAAATGAAGGGTTGTTATTTCTCATCCATCATCATGCTGCAGCACATAAACGCCTAGTTTGTATTTGTTTTGCTGACATGTGGCAGCTCTTTTACGAGTATCATTTGCACTTTCAAGCATGTATCTTACGAAATAAAGACTGGAAGTGTTGAAATCGGGATCGCCTCAGGATATATTAATATACTAACAGGACTGATTTGCTGATCACAACAAATAACAAGATGAAGCATTGCGTTGAAATAACCTAGGACTCAGTTTTCATACGTCCTCGTCATGAATCAATTTAACGCATCCCACGAGCCAGAGATAGTGCCGACAAAGATATGAAATGTGAAATTGCCATTGCTGGCCTGACTGCCACCAGCAACCACCAAATGCGGTCGCGTATGGTAATCCTAGACAGTAGTACCGAATTATGACGACATCCATCCTCCAATCAGGATTGATCGGTCGACGCCAATCCCAGGCTATTTTAGCGTCAACTATTTATATCTTCTTGGATCAGTATGCGCATTAGGTGTATGCTGACGTCGTAGTTAGGACTTTTCGTCACGTAACTGGTTACCTCACAAACACCGTTCTGGGGGGTACAGGCTTTTGAAAGGAAGTCGAATCTACCTTGTTTTGTGCCGGATACACTAGGCTGACAACGACAGATTCCGGCCGCAGCAGCTCTACTTCAGTGAGGGAAGAGTTGTCCTTTGTGAGGGAGGGGGCCCGCACTTTAACAAGACAGTCCGCATTCTTGTACAAATCGCTGCAGCCACTCGCTATGAGTTTAGCTCCGGCAGCAGCATAATCCGCGTCGGGGAACTTGGCGAGTTTTGTAGCAAGCGTTGACCATTTTTAATTTAAAGGTTACTGTATCATATTAATAAAGTGCCTAGTGAATAATGTGCTTCAGAATTAGTTTGCTACACATAAGTGGAACTCTTGGCAGAAAATCGAATTCCTTCATCTCTAAACAGTTTTATATGTTAATAGTTATCGTATTCGCACGCGTGTCCCTTGACGGGTATATTTACCTCAGCGTGAAAATATAACAAAACGGTCCGCTTGAGTCAGGTAAGTTAAAATATAAGTAACCATGTGCGTTGCATACAAGCCGGAGTGTTTTTCATCTTCAAAATTGAGTTGTACACTTGACCGATTTTATGCCGTAAAATGCAGCAGTAATTTCATTCAAAAATACTCTATTGTGCCACACTGGTATCTTCTAGACATAGATTGAAGTCTTTCTGAAGCCACCCTTAAACGGTGACCCATATCTTGATTATTTACTTTCCAGTGCATATCAAGATGCCTTCGGGCGATTTGCTTATACCTGAGACATAATTTTGGAATCAGGAGGGCGTCGCCTCATGTGACTGAAAAGTATTACCAGACTTTTGTGATTTAGA